CTCAGTCTTCTTTAATGCCTGCCACAAGCAAGCTTTTGGCTGTTTCTCTTTGAAAGGCTGAATGAGGGAGGAAAGCTACGGTATGACCTCTGAAGCCCACAATGCACATTTGTGCACCCACAGCACAGGATTGAGGCTTGTCTTGCATTTAAATGAATGCAGTCAAAGTCCTCCTTGTATTTCTTTTCTCTCATCACTTTCCCAGACATTGGCTTGCTGTTCATTTTCTGGGGTAAATAGTCCACTGTTCCTCTGATGTATGCCTAGCACAGCAATCTCATATGAACTGCTCCCACCTGTGTTAACACCCCCATCCTGCCAGGCCCTCCAAAAGGACATGAAACAAGGCAAGTGTGTTGGCTAGTGTCAATGTCAAGGAGATTTTTGGAGAGCAAACAAATATGCAACGCTCCAGGCTTGGGGAAGAGTGGCTGGAAAGTTGCTTTGTGGAAAAGGACCTTGGGGTGCTGATTGATGGAGCTGAACATGAGCCAGCTTGTGCGCAGGCAGCCAAGAAGGCCAGCAGCATCCTAGCCTGTCTCAGCAACAGTGTGACCAGCAGGGCCAGCACAGTGATCATCTCCCTGTACTTGCACTGGTGAGGCTGCACCTCGAATCCTGTGCTCAGTTCTGGGCCCCTCACTACAAGAGAGACATTGAGGTGCTGGAGCGGGTCCAGCGAAGGGCAACAAAGATGCTGAAGGGTACGGAGCACAAGTGTGATGGGGAACAGCTGAGGGAACTGGGGGTGGTTTCATCCTTAGAAGAGAAGGCTCAGGGGGACCTTATAGGTCTCTACAACAACCTGAAAGCAATCTTGTGTAATATCTGTACATATATTCTTCAGGGAAAAACCTGAAGATTGCTAAGATTGCAAATTAATTAAAGTAGTGAGGTGAGGGTTGGTCTCTTCTCCCAAACACCAAGCGATAGGACAAGAGGTAACAGACTCAAGCTACTCCAGAGGAGGTTTAGATTGGATATTAGGAAAACTTTCTTCACCAAAAGGTGCTCAGGCATTGGAACAGGCTGTCCAGGGAAGTGGTGGAATCACCATCCCTGGAAGTGTTTAGAAACCATGTAGATGAGGCCCTGGTGGCCTTGGCAGTGCTGGGGTAATGGTTGGACTTGATGATCTTAAAGGTCTTTTCCAACCTACTTGATTCTATGATTCTGTGATTCTATGAAAAAAATGAATCAATCTGGGAAAAACAGGTTGAGTGGCCAGAGTTCAGAGTAGGAATAAAATTTTGAACCTGAAACCTGGGCTGGAAGAAGCCACGTGATTGCAGGACCAGGTATTCCCAGGGGACTTTTCCCACCACCAATAGATTCTGAAAGATCCCTGTCTGAAGCACAGAATACCCACTGGGAGTGAAGCCGACTGGGCAGCATTCACACCAGGCTGGAGGAGATCCTGCACCACAGGTCGGCTGCACAGGGCACGATTGCTGACGTCAGGCAGGGTCACCACAGCCCAGCAATCACCCAGCAGCATCACAGTGATGAAGCAGGTCAAGATTGAGACAGAAGTCTAGAAACATTACTCAGGGTCAGCACTGTGGCCAGGCATGGGCATAGCACAGCATTGCACATCCCAAACAGGGACTCGGGACCTCAAAAGCAGCTCTGGTGTGACAGGGCAGGCTGCAGGAGAGGCTTCTCTCAACCTCTCCTCACTTTAGCTGCCTCCCTGCAGCCTGACCCAGATATCACTGCACCAAGTCAGAGCTGGCCTTGAACACCAGCAGCCAGACCCCAAGGACAGAGAGGAGGCTCAGGCCTCTGACACAGCAAAAGTGAACTGGAGAAATGTAAGCAAATGTTTGTAGTGGAAAAAGCAACTCCCTTGTGTTTTGTTTTCTTACATGAGTGGATGCCAAGCAGACTGGGAGGCACAAGGACACAGGTACCACAGGTCAGGGGAACTAGTGGAAGTTGAAGGCTGGAAGTAGAGAGGACGGGGGAGTGTAGTAGAAAGGGTAAAAGTAATCCCTGCTCTCATTTGTCCCTGCCCCAGCCCTGATTTTCCCAGGGGAGAGGGATAAGGAGGACCATGCCCTATGCTGACCTCCAGGGTCACCTCTTACTCCAGGACCTCCCAGCCCCACCAGGACTGCTGCGGATTCCTAGAGACACCTCTGAGCTGAACGCAGGCATCTTCTGAATGGGCAGTCTGGTCTCAAGGGTTTGTATTTCAGATGCAAATGGTGCTGTGGGCTCAGAGACCAGTAATATGTATGACATCCAGGGAGCTGAAGGGTATGGGTTTAAAGGAATAAACACAAGACCAAGGAACTTTGTGTCTTAAATCCCACAACAGAGGAAATCAGAACAGTTTATAACCACTGTGCAAGAGGTTGGGAAGCACGCACCCATTCATCCAGAATCGGCCCTTGTGGCAATACAGAGTTTTTCTCAACTGCTTCGTTATTGCCTTTCAAAGGCAAAAAGAAACTGAAAAAGAAAGGGTTGTGCCATCCAAGGTATACATAAGCCTGCCACAGAAATTGAACTCCTCTGTTGACTAGAATTACAGACCTATACACCGCAGGAAAGCTAGCAAATCAGCTTAAAAAGGAGAGGTGGAGAGACTGGTCAGCTGCTTCCGCTTATTCCTTCTCAGAGCAGTAGGGGGAGAAAAGCGATCAATTCAAAATTAACAGTGTTCAGTCTTACGTTTCATTTGTCTGCAATAATCCCTGTCATAAGTCTCTCAGGGCGATGTTCACTAAGAATTCTTTCCACTCAGCACAGGAAAAAGGCTCTGGAGTGTGATTACACACCAAGAGGCGAAATTTAGATTGTTCTGAACTAGCCTATGGGAGCCAAGAGCTTAATGCTTATCCTTTAGGAAAGATGCACTGTGAGAGGATCTTGTAAGGCTGAGTGACAATTACCTCATACCACAGCACAGCTTTAGCCAACTGCTCTGGGGACTCATCTTTCTACTGCGTATAGCAGTGGATGAAGATGTTACCTCTTCCAAAACACCTGCTGCTGAAGACTTGAAATTCCAAAATGAAGATTGTAAACCAGTTACTTCAGCCTTTCTTTCCCTCTCACTCTATCAAAGTAAAATAAGGGATAATAATGCACCATAAACTGAGATAAATATGCCTCATACGTTTGGGTAATATCTACCTATCTACCAGATTGCTCAGGAAGCTCAGGATCTGACAGATTCCATCACGGAAACGAATGAAAGATCTGAAGTTGTGCAGTTCCTGAGGTCTTTAAACAACATGGCTTGAGATTTTTGGCAAAGGAGATAGCAGAACATTACCCCCAAAAAAGTTATCCCTTTCTGCTGCCAATATTTCGTGCCATCCTGGGAAAAGAAACAAAGGTTCATGGCAACGGGTAGGGATTCTGCAGCTCCCTTTGCAATGATAGTGCCACTTTCCTGAAGGACTTCATTTCAGGAGCTTAGTTATCATGTGTGCTGTAGACCACTGGGAAGAGTTTAAGACATGCTCAACAGATGCTGTGTGCCACACTGGCAAAACATTAATGGCAAGAAATTCCAGTGGGTCTGCTTTGCTAATCAAAGCCAAGTTTACACTTATAGAAACAATGACCAATACTCCATGGGCTGTGGACACAAAACTGCTCTTTTTCTTGCTAGATTTAAAAGTAATACAAAATTCACTAGCTATTTGTTAAGGAAATGTCTGGTGAGGAAACTTTTCTAAGGTGAGCAAATTTTGCAGCTGAATTTCTTGGTGTAAATACTATTCACATCCTTCCCCATGGCTACCCATTCACAAAATAAGATGCTTGCCAGCAATCTTAAAATAGCCTGCTACAAGGAACAACTGCATGGAAATTATCAGACAGGTGAAAATCTTTCTTTCCAGCAATGTGAAGAACTCCATATTAGTAGTTACATTTGCCTGTGTCATCATATATGGGCATGCGTATGAATGACATCCCTCATCCGACAAGCTCCACGCAGATAATGCCATTTTGCAGATCCTTTAGAAGTTGACTCCTCCATAGACTGAGGTTGGAAGAACTTGGGATGAAAACTGCAGTAGTCTGCATCCCAGGCAAAGGTGTATCATTTGGCAAGTGATGACCACAATTACCAAGGTTTTTTCTTTGTCAGACAAATTTGAGGTTTTCTGTGTTAAAACAGGGAGGTTGTTTGCCTACCTCTCCTCGTTCATATTAAAGACTTTCCAGATTCAGTGTTTTATTCCTGCCCCTTCAAGCACATAATTCCATGTTAATATGTGATACAAATACTAGTCCATCATCAGAAAGGCAATAAGGTAAGTCATACTGAGACAGTCCTGTTTGTGAGGAGTGGAGATATTCATGTGCCTTGCTTATTTTTAGCAGATGATGGGTAAATCTGAGCCAGCACGTTTTTCATTCAGTCTGTCTCTGGACACTAACAGATGGTGCTTCCTTGTGCCAAACACTAATGCACTTTCAATTGGCACTCAGTGTCAGGACACAAAGCCCGCCAAGTTCCTGCTAAATCTGCTGATGCCAGGAAAATTGATAATAAACATCTAGCCAGGGACAGAGTCCCAACTTTTTCCTCTACCTCCAAAGCAGCAACGAAGCTGCACCAGTGCAATGGTGTCAGTTGCTCTCCAGCTTGTTGCTATCAGAGCAGCAAGGAAAGTCCTGGACTGGAAAAAAGGGTTCCTGAGGCCATGAACACAGGTATGTATCTAAAGATTAAGGGAGATCCATCTGCCTCATGGGAATTAGCTGAGCGCTCAAAACTGAGCTTTGACAACCTCGACAACTTGTGCCTTAATGTTGAAACATCTGAACTAATGACAATTAACATAAATATAAATGTATATATGTATATGTATGTATACATATATCACTGGCAGGGTGATTCTAGTATTTAACACTCCTTAGTACTCCTTGAGCTCTGAATATACTAAACTCAGTCTTACACATCTACTTCCTATGGCTGCTGATGATAAGGTGACACTCAAAAGAAAATTCCACAAACTCCTCTGAGAAGCTCATTCCATTTTACAGGTTGTTGTGTTTATTCTTTGAATACAAGCATCCAAAATTCTTGAGCTGTAAAATTCCTGTTCCTTTCCACCAGGTGCCTCAGTGCCCAGGCTTCTTTCTTGGATTGCTCAAAGCTTGGTATCCACATCTCATGGAGAGAAGTCCAGCCAGGGTTTGAGGTCGAGAACGAGAATGCTGCTGGTTTGGGGCAGCTCAGATGGTTGACCTGAGCTTTCCACCTCTGGGGCAGCCATCCCTGGCAATGGGGAGAAATAAAAAGGGTTATTCAGGGACCCTGGCAGACAGAGAAGGAAGGCACTATGCCATTAGTAAACTATTAAAGCATGCCAGTGACATTTTCCTTCCCACCACAGGCTCTAGCCACATTCATGTGGATGTCAGAGGGGAAGCTCTTCCCAAAGTGTCCAGGGCAAGGCCAGTCATGCTGACAACAGCCTGAGAATCAGATCAGGTCTGGCTGCAAACGAGCAGCACCAGCCCACCCAAACTGAAATTCTAAGGCAAGAAGCTCTATTTTCATCATTTTATTCTGCTTCCATCTTAAAATACACACACAATCCCTCTCACAAACACACAATCTGGCTTAAGCATTCATGTTTCAATGTTTAGCCACCAAATGTGGCCACAAACAATGGCATGTTGTCACTACAGGTTTGAATGCATCCATGCATATGCAGACCCAAACACTCATAGAGTATTTAAGTCAGGAGGGACTTCTGCCAGTGATCATCTAGTTCAATTCCATCTTTGAAACAGGTTAAACCACATCTAATTGCTTAGGGCAGTACTGAGTAGAGTCTTCTCCAAGGACAGAGATCCCACAACCTCTCTGGGCTACCTGTTTCTAAATGTTTCAAGTCACATAAAGTGAGTCAGAAAGTCAGACTACCTTCTGGAGTCTCATAAAAACCTCCTCCCTGAACAATTCATGCCTTCTGCTGTAATGACCAGCAGCTCAGTGGTCAATGTGTATGAACCCAAGCACTGCAACAGTATGAGGAACACATGCTGTGCACCCACACCTTCTGCCAACACCTACTAACATAAGGATGTACAACCCAATGGCATTGCATTACCAGTCATTGCAGGTTGGCCAGAAATCTGATAACCAAACTTCTTGGGACAGATCTGAGCAAAGTGCCATTTTAAAGCCTGTCTGAGACACAACAACAAAGTCGCTCATACCTTTTCTTCCCTTCTGATGTTTTCCCACACTCTGTTACACACCATGCACTCAAAGGTGTCAATGTAATTGTCCTGGGTGATATCCTGCACTCCCCACTTGCGTTCCTTCATCGCTGTAAGCAGCCTTGGGTTGGAAATGTCCCCTTTCAGTTTCCACTGCAAGTAGGACTCATATTCTTGATCATTTGTATCGAGTGTTTTGATATAATGGGCCAGCTCCCGAGGGTGTGAAAAACTGGATACCAGGATTGCACTCTTGTTACTAGGAAGCCAGTCTACAATGCTAGGAGACCCAAAGTACACTGGTACCACTCCCAACTTCAGTGGCCGCCACAGTTTTTCAGTGATGTAGTCTTCACAGACAGCATTTTCAAAAGCAAGAATGAACTTGTACTGTGCCAGTATTTTATAGAAGTTCCCATCATCCATGGCAGCTGGACCTCTAAGATGCTGAGGAAGGTCTTTGTTATGTAGACATTCCCCATAAGAGTCTACTTCAATGTGACACATGAGCTCGCGCACATAACTGTCCCGATCAGAAGGAGGGTTGCAATCCGACTGCACATATACAAGCGGTGCAAGCCTCTTCCTCAGGCTGTTCTTCACCTGCAGTGGGATCATGTACCTCAACGACTTCAGGACCTCTATGCCCTCAAGGTACTGAGTGGTCAGCGGTAGGTGAGAGTGGCGGCTAAAGGTTGCAGTGTGGTTGAATAAGGTGATGGTCAGTTCGTGGAAGAGTTTGTAGTTGTTTTTTGGTGACTCTTCATGGAAAAGAGCCCAATCATGATAGTCTTTCCGAGGGAGAGGTAGGCTGTCTATACTGAAGTCAGTACCTAGACAAAAGCAAACGGTGTTACAGTCTGCCCGTATCTATCATGCAATGCGAACTACAGTGACACAGAAGTATAGTTTTAATTTAATATCAGCGCTCTACAACAATCACATTTATTGCATTATAAGGAGGGTATCGCAAAGAGAGCAATTCAGGCAAAGACAGAAGAGTATTATGACAGATAATTTGGCAACACAAGAACCTAGAGAATGGGGATCAGTAGTCAATATTAGAAATGGTTTCCTTTCAGGTCATACGAGTTTAAAGGCCTCTCATTTCAAAGGCTCACTAGGAGTTTCACATTTTAATGCACTGAAATGAGACTAATCAAGACGCTTAATAATCCCCCGGTTCTGTAAATAGGAGTCAGATGGTATTGCCTATTGGTTACTGCAGGGCTTAATTTGGTTCTAGTAGCAAAACAATGAAAAGGTTGCTAAAATATTGGACAGAGTTAAGGAGAAAAATTACAGCAATTACTTCAAGTATTGGAAAAGTATTGTATTATAGAGACTTCTGAAGCCAATCTATTTATTTCATCAAAATGAGAATTAAGAGGTGATGTATCACGGCTGCCTACCAGATACATAAAAGAAGCAGCTCCTGGCAGAAGATGGCTCCTTAAACTAATGCCAATAGTAGAAGAAGAACCATATCTAAACTCTGAAAACAGACAACTGCAGCTCCTTGTGCCTCCCTGTGAGGAACCCTCCAGAACAACTTAGGAAAGCTGTTTTGAAAGCTTTAGGACAAACCTAGAAACTTTTTCTCAAAGGCTAGTCTGTGAAAAACTGAATTCAAGTAACCAGATTGTGAATCTGACCCTTGTTCTCCCTTCAGTACTGCTGTACTACACTCATAAGACTGGTCTTACTGCAGATTAAATGCAAAGCTGATGAGTCTCTGTCAAGATAGTTCCTCATTGTCTTGTAACTGTATCTGTTTTTTACTTTGGCATTTGTTTTTTTACTTAAGTACAAGCACTGAACGTACAAAACTTTTAACTGGTATTGTCAAGAAGGGAAATACACAAACAGAAACAAACAGCAAACAGCTGACTTCAAAAACACCAAGAATCCTTTCTCTTTGGACAAGCTATTCTACCATCCCAGTCACACTCGCAACTTCTCACTCTCTGTTCTACCCTTGACATCAGGCCACTGATGAGGAAAAGAGAGGGAGCTAGCAAAAGTCTAACACAGAATTTTGGTCTAAAACCTAATACATAAAGAAGGAAAACTGCCCAGTGGTCTCTGCAGCTGTATAAGCCTGCCAAGATGACTCCAAGGACGACCTTTTGTAAAGTAAATGTTAAGACTTCACTACTGCAGTAAAGATCGATGTTAGCTGCCAGTAGCATAAAAACCTCCTATAGTGCAAGATTCTTCAAGAGCATCAGGTGGGGTTTTTTAAGGACACTAAATATGTGACCTTCCATTTTCCACTGAAGGGTCATCTAAAGCCCTCAACAATAAATGGTCACACTAACTGAAAAAAGCTATTTACTGCCTCTGGTTTTGATGTGTTATAGTGATACAGGAATGTCAGAAGCTTATAAGGCAAATCTGTTTTTGAAAACACTTTGTTCTAAGTGATGCCCAGAAGAGAAGTGCATACAGACAATAATGAAATACTGTGGAATGAAACCATAGCGGTTCAGCTCTGACTCTCACTAGAGTGCTCCTTCTTTAAGGTAGTATTGCAGGGAAGAGGGAAGGAAAATGCAGGAAAGAATGAGAGAGAGAGAGAGAAATGCAAAACATGAAACTTACTAAATGAGGAATTAAGCAAAGAGAAACTTAAAAGAAAAATGCATTATAGATCAGAGCACATCACAATGAAAGATTCTAATATAACACATAATCAATCTTAATCCAGCAAGAAGACAAAAAGCTTTTAAGGATTAAAGGGAAAATAACATCAGCATGTTCCCTACCCCGTGAGATAAAGGAAAAGAAGGAGCTTATGAGGGGATAACGAAAGTACAAGAAGACTACAATTATGAGCAATTTCAACTTCCTAATTATTAGTTAGGAAATACTAGATATGTAGCAAAGTGTAGACGAGAAAGATGCTGTCAGGAGAAGTTCTGCATCTTACAAGACACCTTTTATTCAGAATTCATATTGCAAGGACTCAGTGCTCCAGCACAGAACAGCTCAACATCTCCTCCCTTAGGAACAACACCCCTGGGGCTCTGACAGCTTGGCACCAGATACAGCTCATGCTGACACTGGTAGCTCACACTACAGACAAAAATCTGTAAAACAGATGGCACCGAAAAGGTGGAGCTGGGAATCCCTCCCAAACACAGAGGCAAAACGCAGAAAGTGGATGCCACATCTCAGTTCCACATAGGAGATGGTGGCATTTGACAAAGTCATCAGCTACACCTAGGGGCTTCCCACTCCAGCACAGTAAGTCAGGACAAGCTGTTGAAAAGAAGGTGGTCCTAGAAAAGCAGTTTCTGCTGCTGGAAAACATCTGTACCTCGTATTTTTTCATAATGTTTTCTCTAAGCTTTGGATCATTCTTCTCCTGACTAGCTCACTGAACAAATATTAGGGGAAAATTAATGCAGTTTCTTTGAAAGATGAAACTATGCCCTGATCCAACATTATGGAAATGAAGATGTTCCAAGTTTTCACTCAGCAGGCTCTTTAGAGGGAAATTCTGAACACCAAAATATGCCTTCTTGCAGGCCCACAGCTCAGCGCATCAAGGGTATGCCTCTGAGTGTGTGTTAATGATTTTTTATCAACTTCAATACCACCTATGACCTCTGTCTCTGCAGGTTTTAGCATTGTGAGATCATTTGTTATGGCTTAAAAATAAGTAAATTTTTTACATATTTTGACACTTGTCTTTATACAGTTTATAGCCAGCATCACTACAAAAAAACAGTTTAAAACTACAGGGAGTCTTCTGCACAGTATAAATAGTCCTTTAAAAATAAGTAAGTAAAGCATGTCCACAAGCCTGCTAAAAATGAACAGTAGTAGTTCTTCTAATGCTGAAATTAACGGAATTACTGCCAGAGACTAAAACCACCAGACTTTATAGCTTTCATGTGATGCTAACCCAGCTCTCCTTGTCTTTATCTGGGTCAGCTTCTCACTCTTTGCTGTTATTCCTTTGTGCTTTGACCACTGTACTATCAACTGACAATGCTGACCTACTTGGACCTCTGAAAACATCAGTGACAAGAAGTTTTTGGTTCACTGGTAACCACCAAGTTTAAGGTCCTTCTTTCCTGTGTTTCCAGTTCACCTGTATCCTGACGGAGTGAGAGCTATTCCAGACTCTGAACCTATCACACAAAGGAGCTGAATCTACCAGTAACATAAATGCTTTGGTTTTATTTTTCCCCTTAAAATTAACTTTTTCTCTGAAAAGCAACAGTGTGAGGAAAAATATCAAAATTAACAAAATACAGTCTACTTTTGAAAGAGACATCTTTTTTGTTTTGTAGACTCACTTTACAGTACATGCAGTGGAAGTTTCTGAAACAGCAGAGCCAGAGCAGCTCAGAAGGCTACACCGGCTGCTGCTCCCTGTGCAGATCAATAGGTTCCTTTCACTACTTTGCATTTACAGTCTGCTAGCAATCTCTTGGCCCAAGATGCAGGGCAGTTGCACAGTTACCAGCAATTACCAGCATTATTTTAAGACGAAAGACTTGCACAAGGGCAACAAAGGCCTTGCAGAATCTCTGCTAAGGTTGACAAACCAGAAGACTGGAAAAAGCTGGCTTGATCTCAGACTGTCTTTTCATTATTTGGCAAATAAAGGAAATCATCTTTTCTCCCATAAAGAGGGAGAACATGTGATTGAAAAGCAGCATGAGACAAGGCAACAGTCATACCACAGACATGCGCAGTCACTTTTCAGAGTACTTTTACAGAGAACTTGCATCTCTGGGTCTCTACTGATGGTATTCAGCACCAGGCAAAGTTTAGCACAACGAGCTATGTGAGCTTCCTGCTCTCACTGATTGCCACCTACAATATTAAATCTCTAAAGAAAAACTGGGCAAGACGGAAGTTATTCCTTTAAAAAGAAACAGATCCTTACCATAGAACAGAAATGCTCTCGTCATCTCATTGTGCTGGTAGGTCTTGTTGATAGTAAAGAAGCAAACGTCCTCTCCGCAGTGACCCAATCTCCCTTTCTCCCCACTCAGGGGAGACCACCAGAGCAGGACAGGATAGTGATTTACATCAGATTCTGCCTTGAAGCTTCTGTGAAGTTCCTGCTTCTTGAACTGAAAAGCATACCTCTCCACAGGCTTTAGCGGGCTACTCTGTAAACTGGAGATTACTGCCACCTTATTCTCTGAATTGCTCAGTTCAGTGATAACCTTCAGGGAAATAAACACAGCACATCACTGTCATTGGCCAGAGTCTAAGCATCAAGCACCAAGTCTGCATGTGAAGTTTCTGTCCATCAAAGTGCATGCATTTCAGTGACTGCAGCCACCACCATCCAGGGGATCTTATGTCAGAACAGCAGAAGCCTTAATGTGAATTTGTAAGGAGGAGGTGGGAAATACATTTCTGTATTTCCCATATATTTCATGTGGCGATGTAAGGCCACATGACCTATGATTTAACAATGCTTCTGCTTTCTCCTTGGAAAAAAAGCACAAGAGAGACTAGCCAAGTTTCCTCTAGAAATCAGCTCTAAAAAAAAAACAAAACAGAAGTTTCCATGTCCCTAGGGATCCAGCCTTGCCTAGCTACCTTATGAGTTTAAGCACATGAACAGAGGAGGCAGTGCAGGAGTGAGGCAATGGTATGGTACACCCCTCCTGAGAAACTCCTCCAGGACCCAAGTTGCTATGCAAGAAAGATGTTCTCTGGGCAATGTCACTTCCAGCTATTACCGTGTCAGCTTTTACCACCAGGCCAACACTGCTGACAGAGCTTCTTCAAACACTCTTCTTAAAGCACAGACTTGCACAAAAAATGTCTGTCACCTTCAGTGCCCTCATCTGACAGAACTGCGTCATACTTTGACAGTGATCTCATGCATGCCCCACCCCTTGCCCCTGTACCTGGAGTGTCACCACAAGGAAGAAGGCTGCTGCAAAGCATAAGCAAGATGCCCACAGTTTCTTCCTCCTCATCCTAATCATGCTGCACTGCCAGGCCTGCCAAAGCAGTTTGAGCCAGGCATCAGGAAGGCCAGCTTATCTTCAGCCTTTTCTGCAGGGCTTTCCCACTCCATCCTTACTCTTCTTCATGGTGACTGCTGATGAAAAAGGGTACAGCATTAACAAGGACCCCGTCTCAAGCTCAGTGCTTTGCCTGATGTCTACCCATAGCTTTCTTAAGATGCCAGAGTCACATTTTGACCCACATATCCAGAACACATCCCACACAAAACAGCTCTCACATACACAGCCTCAGGCATCTACTCTCCCTCTGGTCATTGTGGATTTGGGAATCTGCTCTAAGCAGGCCCACACATTCTCTCATCCTTGCAGTCAGTGTAAAGAGATGCTGATGGGAAGGCAGCCATTTTCCTGAGTTTTATATGGCAAACTGTGCTGGTTTTCGTCGGGCTCACAAAACGGTGAGCGATGAAATACTTTCCTTCGCTGAGCAAGACCTGAAAATGCCCCTGGAGGAGGCACACATCTATCCTGCCTTGGGACTTAATACACTGCAGCCTTCTACAGTGACACTCATCCCAGGCAGTGTTCAAGGCCAGGCTGGATGGGGCTTTGAGAAACATGGTCTAGTGTGAGGTGTCCCAGCCCATGGCAGGTGGTTGGAACCAGATGATCTTTAAGGTCCCTTCCAACCCAAACCATCCTATGATCATGTTCACCAATGTATCTAGACCAATGCATAGGGAAAGCAACTCTACAGAACACACACAAACTCTCTCCATAACTAGAACTATTTAAGCTTAACAAGTTCCCCTTCCCCCTGTAATCTACATCTGTGCTGGTCTACCTCTCCTCAAATAACTCTTCCCTCTCCCCAGCACTTTTTTGAGCTTCCACAGAGCCCTACTGTTTTGCTGCATGCTGGGTGCTACTGTGGGAAAATCCCAATTCCTGGCAAAAGGAGTAAGGGCAAATTGCAGCTTCATCTTTAAGAAAGAAAGAAAAAGGCTGGGAAGAAGGTAAAGCTTTATCTCTCAACTCAGAGCAGTCAAGTTTGAAGTGTGGGTACTCTGAAAGCTCAGACACACACACACAAATATTTCATGTATTGCTATTTTGAAACCCACCTCTTTTGGAGATGTGCCTCTGGTTCAGGCTTGTTTTCTACGGAAAGAAGGTGTTATGTGATCATACAGTCTTCATGTACATATATGTGCTACCTTTCCCCCACCACAATCCCAACTCTTAAAGCTCAAAAAACCTGACGAAGAGGGGTGGATCCCAAAAGTACTGCCTGCCCTAGTACTACTTCTGTGGAGCTGGCAGCTATGGACAACAAAATGATCCTGTTTCTGCTTCTACTGCGACATGAGTTCATCCATTCCCACAGTAAACTGTGGGAATCATGAACATCCATTCTCACAGGAAACTGCTGTGAGGGTTCTGCTCTGCAAGGGACAGCTGCTTTTGAAGGTTTTGTGTGCATAAAAGTGCATGGCTGACAGCTCAGTGCTTCTCAAGCCAGGAAGGATATTTTGTAAAGCCCCTGCGTCTTCTGTGCCTCCTGCGTTATCACCAAAATGGGGCACCACTAGGGGAAGGGGCTGGAATTCTGTGTTTAGTGAAAATCTACTCAAGGCATACTTTGGAGCAGTACAGTATCTTTAATACCACATATCACCCAGTGCATGGCAAAAAGTACAATTTTGATGAACCACTGAATGCTCCCCTACACACTGCCCGGTAAAAAAAAAAAAAAAAAAAAAAAAAAAAAAAAGAAGTCGTAATCATCCCATTTATCCCATTTTAAGGTAATCTTTTAGAGGGGGAACTACCCACACCATGGGTGTGCTGTACCAGTTGCCCCAGGGTACTGCTGCGCTGGGCAGCGCCCTCATTCCCGCGTTTGCAGCGTCCATCACTCGGTACTTCGACCCCGCGGCGCTGCCCGTGTTGCTAGCGGGCCACACAAGGCTCTGTCCTCTCCCCACTCTGCTGGCAAATGACCTTCCAGTGCCCCCCCACCTCGGTCAGGCCAAGCGGAGGACCCGAGGGTTTGAGTGAAGGATTACTCGCCCCCTCCGGCTGTCCTGCGGAAGCAGCAGCTCCCTGCAAATCCTCCCAAACTTCCTAGCAGCTCTCCCTGCCGCCTCTCTCTCCAGCCCTGCCCCGCCGCATCTCTCCAGCAATCAGCGGGGCTGGATCTGCCCCCCCATCGCCCCCTGAGGCTCGTTCCGTCCCGCTCCGCGCCCGCGGGCGGTGCATCCTGCGCCGGAGTGCCAGCAGCGGTACTCACCGCGGTACTCACAAGCCGCTGCCGCTCCGCCGCCGCCGGGCCCCTCCGGCGGGTTTGGGGTGGTTTTGTTCCTTATTGTACTTTCAGTTTGTGCACCTCCAGGCCCGGAGGGGGGCGGGTGCTGGGCCAGCGCTGCGCGGGGCGGCGCGCATCCCGCCTCCCTCCGCCCACCGCGCTGCGGGGCGGCTCTGGGGGACTCTCTTAGGAGTCCCCACGGCCCCGAAGGGGCAGCTCGGTCGGGGAATCGGCCTAAGAGCGCCATCGCTTCCACTCCGCACTGCGCTTACTGTAAGTCCCGCACTGAAAGACCGCCCCCCCCCCCCAAAATAAGTCCGACGCTGTCACTGATTTCTGTGCAGTTGGCATAACTGCGCTCTTTGCGTTTTGGTTCGGTTTGGTGCTTTCTGCAACACTGCCGTTATTTTGGCGGGTGCGATCCTGACGAAGACTTGGATTGACTGCATCCAGCCTGTCAGGAACAACAACGCGTCACGGAAGCTGGGAAGCCCTGAGGCGTCCGCGGAGGGTCCTGCGCAGCCATCGGCACGCAGTCCAGTCTGACAGATCGGTTTTCCAGGGGTTGGGCCCCTCTTTGGCATTTGCTATTTGTAGTGAAAGGTATTTACTCTGAAAGGCTGGTTCTGCTGGCTCGGGGTAGAACCCGTGTTTATCCACTCGATACAGACACACAAGCCATACATGTTTGTATTTACAGCATGAGATACCCAATACCTACATGCTTCTTCATATGTACGTGTATCTACAAGCACCTGGGAAGTGCCGTATCTGCTGCCTCTAACCCAGATGTGGCAGGCAGCAGAAGTGCAAGGGGGTGGTTACCTGGGGGAGCAGAGGGCGGAAGAATCTCAGGGGGACAGAGGAATACCTGATGTGCCTCCATTGAAACGCATGAGTGGCGTAAGTTGCACAAATGTACACACAGCTCATCTTACTGTGCAGTGAGTCATGCCTGCAGCCTTCTCAAGGGGCTCACCGGGGTACCCAGCAGACAACCTGGCAGCGTAAGTGCCCCCTGCCATGCTAGCTCTCTCCCTTTCCTCCATAGCTGTGCTTGCCTGCACCCCATTTGGAGCAGCGCACACATCTTGCTGCACATGCTGCACCTTGGAGCTCTGGTTTCTCTCTGAGCTACCAGGTTCCTCCTAAGATGACAACTCAGAACTAGCACTGAAGTGCTGGGATGTGACAGATATATTTATCCTCCACTCCTTTGTTTAGCACTTCATCACAGCTCCCATCCTATTTGTTGCTTCCTTCCAAAGCTGCTGGAGTCATATTTTAAGTAGAAGCTGTAGGTGTCGTTTTAATATTCTCTGTGACATGTGGTTACAGATCTTAGACCTGAAACATGAACAATATCCATTCTCTCTAGAGCCAGGAGGCATGCAGCAAGAACCTCCAAGTATTACTTTGTAAAGCAGGTCCATGCTAAAGCAGACTCCTGCTTTTGCAGGCCTGGCTGAGGCTTCCATAGTGACCCAAGGCTGAGAGGACTAAAGCTAACATGCCACAGTAAGCTCAGTGAATTAAACTGAGTGGTTGAAGATGGATCAGAAGCCTGATACAGTTGATGGAAGTATTTGCTGTGATCCCACTGGGGTTTGGTCTGGCCTGTCATTTACGAATTCAGTTATATTCACATCTTCCAAGCTTCCTCAGTTGGCAGACTCCTAAGTTTCCTCTCACGAGGATACAACTTGCTTGTAACATGCTTCAGCTTCCTGCTACTGCTTGCTCTTCTCAGTTTTTATCCCTCAAGGCGTCCATAGACTGCAACAACCCACAGGTTCAGACTGAAAATGCAGATAGCTATTCTATCTGCTGTTCCCGCCATGCCATCAGCAAGGTATTCTTCGTCCAGCTCCATCCAGTGGTTGGCATCAGAGAAGCTCACTTCTGTTTCTTGTCCTCTTATGCCACTCTGAGGAAGTTAAGTTCCTATTGCAGGATCTGACCTGTCCGTCATCCATGTTAAATGGCTGGTAAAGATGATGCCAGCGTAAGCAATGCCAATGTCAGATGATTATATGTTGGTTCTAGAATAAAGCATGACCAAAAAATCTCCAAATTTTCATTCAAGCAGCAGAGCTTAATAAACCAGATTTCTTAAAGATCTGTGTCTCAAGTGCCCTCTGCCCATAGAGAAGGCTGCTGGTATCCAACAAATTCACAATGCAGCCTTTCTCTCCGCAGGTCAGGAACATGGATTTTCTGCTCTGTCTCTGACAAAACATGAGCCTTTGAGGTTTCTCTCATTCATATGTGCACCTTTCCTCTGGTCTGCTTATAATATACCTGATTTCTTTTTGGGCCCACCTTAGTTGTTTCTCTCTCTTTTTTTTTTTTTCTTTTTTTTTTTTTTCAGAATGTTCAGCATCTTTTAACTTTTTCCTTTTACTTATGTACTTCTGGTTATACTCTCTGTCTCCAGGCACATCTTTCTCCACTTTCTTTCTGTTCTATACATAGTTCTATATTCCGAAGCAACCTTTCAGTAGATTGCTCTGTTTTTTCCCCTCCATTATATTGTCATAGTCTATATTACTGTAATACCCAGAGGCACCAGCCAAACTGCACTCCAGTCACTGTACTAACATCCCAGCAGAAACAAATGAAGTCCCCAAGCTCACCATTAAAATAAACAGGGCAGAAAAAAGGAAGAGAGGCAACGAAAGTGCAGATGTCAAGTGACTTCCAAATAGTGGCAAATCTGCTCAGTGACAGAACCTGTGGCCCAATTCTTCCTTGTCCTGGATCCTGTGTTTGCATTTGCAGCTGTGCACTTATACTCCCTCATAGTTGGTCTGGCACCATTCTTCTTTCCATAAGGTCATTGTAAAACACAGGATATACTTACGGCCCTTTCAACCTGAGCACCCCAGAATTAAAGACTTTAACCCTTTCCACCATACATGGAATGATTTCCCGCCTCCACAGATGTACAGCACAGATGGAGATGTATGCAGGGCCCCTACTGCACATGTGCTCTGCCTGTCTCTAACCCTCCCCTCTCTTAAGCACCCCAGTATGCCCTGGATTACCAACCTGTAGTGCTGGGTCTGAAGTTTACCCTAATGACTGTCTCCAGCTCAGCTGCTTTGTCCTGCTAACCATCACTTTAGATAATCTGCCTTCTCCAATGTCACCTACAGGTCACAACTGACTGTTTCAAAGCCTCCTCTAATTTCACCTTTCACAGAGACCAGATTCCTGAGCACTGCCCCATCAGAAAGCTTGTCTATAGTATGGTGCCATTTTGTGAGTTTCCATGGGGGAGGAAGCACAGCCCACCGTGCCTGCAGCACCTTAGCACCAGAGCATCAGTAATGCCAGTGACCTGCTCTTTGTAGTGCTGTAACTTTCCACCTCTGCTGCTGTGGAAGCATTTCCCAGAGCTTCTGTTGTGGGGTTCTGGAGAATGCACATCCCAAATTACAGTTTGATTGTAGCCCTCTCTATCGTGTGACCCAGAAGAAGAATGATTTTTAAAGGGGCCCTGAGCAACAACAAGCCTCTGAGCAAATTAAAAGGGAGAGAGTTCACGTAGTAGCCCTTGGACCAGTCCAGACCAGGCCAGAGGTAACAAATGTGCTCTACACTGCAGCTGGGGAGAACGGTCCTACCTGGAGCCTCTGGCAGAAAGCTCCAGGGGAGACTCGAGGTCGACCCCTCAGCTTTTGGAGTCAGGGATACAGAGGATCTGAGGCCAGCTAAACCCCAACTGGCAGCCTATGATGGGTTTGAACTGCTT